CTCAACTTTAGGTTTTAGGAAGAAAAGATCTGAAAAAGTGATGTAAAAAGTCATTTTCGCAATCTAATATACACACAATCTGCTTGAGCGGAAGAGTTGATGCTCAAGTGTCAGACACAAAAAGTTGTTCCGCTCGAGCGCCAAGTCACAACGAATGCTCACCGCTCAAGCGTAGAAAACAGACATCCAGAAGTTTTATAGACAACAAACCAACGCTCGAGCATAGGAAAGGCCGCTCGAGCGTAAGAAACACCGCTCGGGCGTAGAAAATACTCTCCCAGTCATTTTATAGACTTGCAAAGTATTGAGAGTTCGCAAAGCCCGCTCGAGCACGAAAAGTACCGCTTGAGCGGAGGAGCAAAAATCTGAGCAACAAAGGTTTAGAAAAATAAGCAACTAACCTATTCCAAACGTACAAGTACAATCCAATAACCAAAATAGAGGGGAGACAATGGAAACAAGATATGAATCACCATTCAAAACCATACAAACCTGAGTTCGGAATACAAGAAGTGACAGGTCAAAAACCAGAATCGTCATAACCTCCCGTCCTTAAAGAATTTCGTCCCTGAAATTACAAATCAAGTTTAAAATCAACATTAGACCATTCATAACAATGTTATTCTCACAAATTCAATACCATGACCCATTTTCCAGTCATCCATTCTCATCGACTCGATACACAAGTTCCACATTAAAATGAAATTTACAATTTCACAAAACATTTACAATGTTTAAATCAAAATCCAAGTTTTCAAAATTTACACAACATATACAATGTTTCCAAAAGTGATACAATACATACGATATTCCATATTTTCAAAACATATGCAATGTTTATATTGAATCCATGTTTCCAAAACACCTCATAAAATATACAATGTTCTCATGCTTTAAAACATATATAATACTTTTACATTTCATTAGCATAACCGTGGAGTGCATCCCCTATCTCCTCCCACACAAAACAATGTATGCAAATGCAATGCTCAATCAATACATGTATTTTCTGTATCAATGCAATAGTCAAATTTAATGACTTAACCAGTGTGATTAGTTTCAAATTCACCTAATTCTCATGCAATGTCTACAACAATCACAACTATCCTCCACCGATAGCCCAAAACAGTTATTTCTAGATCTGAAAATAAATATATCAACAATTCAATGGGTGAGTGATTTAAATTATCCAACTACACCTCTTAATCAATGAATTCCTCAATTCCATGAATTTAACCATATTTCCCAAATTTCCTTTAATTAATTATACAAATTAACTTATTAATACCCCTAGGGTTTTTCCCAAAATTACCAAAGTAACCCCAACACATCAAAATACCAATACTTAGAACAAAACTTATAGAATGGAGTAGGAAATCCCTACCTCGAAGAAATAGCCCCAAAAGAGAAGATGGAGATGAACACCCACACTTCAAAGTGCTCCAAACTACCAACAATTCAGATTAAAACGAAGCCCTTGACTCACACACTCTTTTTAATGAAGGATCTAGGGTAGAAACACACCCTAAGTGAATCAAATCTAAGAGAGAAGGTGAGTAGGGAGAGAGAGAAGTCGGACCTAGGGTTTGGAACCAAAAGGAATATGAAAAAGACTGATCAAAACCCGCTGCTGCGTATATAAACTAGACAGGCTCGCTCGAGCGAATACTTGGTCGCTCGAGCGACCAGACACAGAGAAACTACGCTCGAGCCAAGGAAGCCTTGCTCGAGCCAACAACCCAAAAGCTCGCTCGAGCGAAAGAAAGCTCGATCGAGCGAAGAACTCAAACCCTCAGGTCCGTAACCAGACACACGCTCGAGCGAAGGAACTATTGCTTGAGCGAAGAACGAACTAACTCGCTCGAGCGAAGAAAAACTCGCTCGAGCCAAGAATGCAAAGCTACAGGTCCAAACCAGACGCAACTCTCGCTCGAGCTACCAAACCCCGGCTCGAGCGAAGAACCAAAAACAACAGCTCGCTCGAGCGACAAACTCCTCGCTCGAGCGAAGATCCAAAATTCTGGACAGCAACACTTTATTTCTAAACCCAACCAACCTGAAACAAACCTGCCCAACACATCCTATAATTCCAAGTGAGAAAAATAAGGGACAACAACAACCATTATACAATGACAGAATCTACGGAACCTATGTCCGGACACAATAGTCAAATGGGAAAAGACCGGGGTCGCTATATGAACTCAGAAAATTGATGATAAGTTTCAAAATATGTTCAATTTTAACTTATTAATATAATGAGTCATTCTTAAAATAATTTTAATGTGCCCAACATAAGTGGAGTTCAAATAACTTCATTTATTTTATCATCTAACTTAAATAGATATGTTAAGAAAATGAATATTAAATTAAATAAGAAATTATCAATATAAAAAATAATCAAGGCACGTGGTGAATTTTCAAAATAAAATTTTCTTCTTTTTCATAGGTCTAATACTCAAATCAACAACATAATTTACGTTATCTAAAAAATAACCAATAAAATTATGGAACACAAATTATTAAAGGAAAATAGATAAATAATGATGAAAGATGGAAAACAATATGAAGAGCTGACAACAAAAGGTGCTTTAGTTAATAATTAGATACTCCAAATATTTGAGAAGAATATGGAGATATGCAATTATCAGTTTGCTTGCCTATTGCTCTTCATTTGCACATAGCCACAAGTACAAAAGCTCATACATGATCAGAGCATGCATGTTGAAAGTGTTGCAATTGTCAATTGTTGCTTATCCACAATTTTGTAACAGTCACTAACCTAAAGTGTTGTAAACTACTTTACAGGTTGCTTTCCCAGTCTTGGAGTATTTGAAAATTCGGAAATTGCCTACCATAATAGAGATATGGGACAAGCAATTACTCATCGCTTCAGAAAAAGAATCAAAGTCCTTCTGCCAATTGAAAGGTATGACGGTTTCTGATTGTGAGAAATTGGAGCATGTGGTTCAGTTCAATATGCTCCCACGATTGCAAAATCTGAACATATTCAGGGAAGATAATTGTCCAAAGGTGGAAGTGGTAGTCTCAGAGAAAGAAAAAGAAGAAGGAACCACCAATAATGATATCATTGTGTTCTCTCAATTAACAACTCTTAATCTTTATAATTTGGTGAGCCTTAAAAGTTTCTACAACTGGTCTACAAGATCTGAAGCACAACCCTTGTTCAACCACCAGGTTTGATTTTCCCAATTTATTTTATTATCCTTGGCCATTGGAAAGTGTGCACACAAAAAAAATATTTAAATTCCTTTTCAATTACAATTTTAAATTTGAAGCTTATTTGAATATTCTCTTTCTATCCAAATCCAAATAAAAGTAAAATAATTTCAAGGTGGATATGCTAGGGGCTTACGATGGAAATTACAATATTACCCAAACAAAAATATGTATGAGTTCTAAATTTAGCACTATGTTTTTATTTTGAATATGAATCTTAATATGATTTTATTTGACTAAAATTATGTCCAAAGTTGTAATTTGCCTAATCTTGATTTGGAGTTCATTAAAAAAATATTTAAATATTGGATGTCATATTTTGTTTTTTTGGTTTTGACTGATATGATTTTATTCTGTTTCACAATCCAAAATTATTCCCTCATAACCACTTTAAATTTAGATTGCAATTTCCCGATCATCAATCCTCAATTGCCTTCCTTTGGAATTACGCCTCTTGGGTTTTAGGGAAATGATATCAATTTCTACGTGATTCCTAGTTGTAATATTTGAATATGGAAAAATCACTATTATAATTTCTTCTAAAACCTCAAAAATATTGAGCAATCCCTATTATAGGAGGTCACAGATCAACTCCCACAACTTTACCATTATGAAAATGTTAACTTGCCCCTGTCCAAAACATCTTAGGAAACTTCTTGGAAGTTCAATCCCGACCATTGATCCAATTTTAAAACTACATTAATTGATGGACTATGCATGCTGGCTTGAGTTGTTACTAGCAATTAATCAATAACAGCTTAAAGCTCAATCTTCTCTACTTTAGTGCTATATTTATTAGGGGCCAATCTTGCTATATCAATGTCAAGAACACAAAAACTAACAGAAATTATTTAATGTTCTAGGAGACAAAAGGTTAAGTGTTAATTTGTAAATGGAATAAAGCAATCCTCCAAAAACTAAACACACAATGAAATATAGATATCATATAATGGGTAAGATCCCAAGGATAGATTTAGGGGGTGTGTGTCACGTTCCAAATTTTAATTACTCGAAAACATTACCAAGAGCCTGAAATTTAAGTCCATTTTTTTTTTATTAAAAATATCTATTATCCTCGAGTAATAGAAATATAATAGTACATGTTGTCTCCCTCATGATGAGTACAACAATAATAATAATACATTCCCACTTCCACTGTGGAGCTACAAATTAATAAATACAAACATCAATGTACAATGAGATTACACATAAGAGATACATGAACTCCCTAATCCTTCAACCAAACAATCCGAAATCTCTTCCTGTAAAAAAAATGAAATAACAAGGGGTGAGCACAATTGTTCAGTAGGAATCTCACAGTTCTAAAACAATAACCATCCTATAGATAGAAGTGATCATGCATGCAGGGTGATATCATATAGTAGATGACGTTTTGTAATTTCAAAATATCATACGTAGAGTATCTTTTTCTCAAGGTTTATTTGAACATTTAAGGAAAACCTTCGACCATCAAAACAATCCCTTTTCATTAGAAAACCATAAATCCTTTTTGAGAACAACATGTTTAAGGAATCACATAATTTTATATTTATTAACCCATTCCAAAATATTTCTTATTAAATATAGCGATCCCGGGTTTTACCCTTGTTGAACAGTGATCCGGACATGTGTCCGTGGATGTTGGTAGTTGTTTATTATTTTGTTTACATCCTCTTTACTTCGTAATTGAGTTATAGGATGTGTTGGGCAGGTTTGTTATATCCCCAATCTCTTATCCAAGTACCACTTCATTTTCCATTCCTTTCAAATAATTTCTATATGCATTCCCATTCCATACCAATTTACACATCAAATGGTAATTTCACAAATTCATCACAAGTCACATATATCATCACTGAACTCAACACACTTCACAACACATTCCACCTTTTGCCGGCTTGATACAGCGAGATAGCGGGCACCCAATTCATAGCACATTCCACCTTTTGCCAGCTATTATACGGCGGAAAGTGAACTCCCAAAATCATTTTCTCAAAAACTATATCTTTTTCCGGAGACCATTTTCAACCTTTTAAAAACCATCCCTCACATTTGCCGACTATTATACGGCAAGACGTGGGCACCCAAAACATTTTCGAAAACCATCTGTTTTTCCACTTTTGTTGGCTACAATACGGCAGGACTGTGTGGACACCCAAAAATCATTTTTCCACTTTCGTCAGCTACAATACGGCAGGACTATGTGGACACCCAAAAACACTTTTCCAACATTCGTCCAGTGATAAGCCTATACAGGGTAATTGGGCACCTTGAATTCAAACCACCCTCACATTTACCGGCTATTATACGGACAGTCGTGGGCAACGAAAAACCATTTTCCAAATTTTTTTTAAAAAAAAATCCCCCACGTTTACTAGCTATGATACGGACGGTCGTGGGCACCGAAAAATCATTTTTTTTCAACTCCCCACTCAACACAACAGCACCCAACACAACTCAACCCAAACTCCACACACCCAACACAACACAGCTCAAACTCAACACAACCCAACACAACACAATTCCACAAAACTCACCATGATTCAACACAATTCAACATAGTCAACTCACTTCAACATAATCAACATAATTCTATATAACTCAACACAATTCAACAAAATCAACACAATTCAACATAATTCAAGGTGAACTCCTAAACTTTCATTTCATCATTTCACCCCAAGGCTCATGTCATCCATATCATTAATAAATCATTTTCCCCAATCTTCATTTCACATTATAGCATGATTTACAATGTCCATAATAAGGGTTCATTCGCTAATTTTTAACATGATTTTCAAACACTTCCAAAATTCAATTAAACTTGTGCACATATAATTCAATACCTCAATTTCATGATTCTACTTTCAATTGGGGCAAAATCATTAATTATCATCATGAATCAACTTAGGGTTTTTAAGAGAAATTAGAGCTTTTCACAAAACACATTTTATTCCAACCCTTCTATTACTTTTACACCCAAACTCATGACCCAAGATAATAACCCAACAAATAAACCCAACTCTCTTCAAACCCAAACCCCCAATCTAATGATTCGTCACAATATGCATAAAAATGTGAACTTTTTTTTATTTCTATAAAGAAAATACCACAAATCTATCCATAAACGAGGGTATTGAAAGAGAACTAGAAACCCCTACCTCTTGAAGCCAAGAGATGACGACCCAAACATCAATGGCGACGAAACCACGAACTCTCGGACCAAAAGGATGCCCTTGGCGAGATCTACACTTTTTCTCAAAGGACCATGGTGAGACAATCAGTCTAGGTGAGTAGATCTAGAGATCTTAGTGCCAAAAGCTTGAGTTTAGAGAGAGAGAGAAGAGAACTCACGGTTTGAGAGAGAGGAAATGGAAGAAAAACTCAAATGAAACATGTTTGGAGCCTATTTATAGTAGTAGAGAAATAACCCTAAGGTCAATAAAATAATAGGCCCAAAACCCCCCTAAGGACAGGGCCCAAAACCAGCCCAAAAATCTGAAAAAAACACACAGGGGTCGACCCTTTAGGCAGGGAGGTCGACCCTTTATGTAGAAAAGGCAATCTGGTACAAGCAAGGGGGTCAACTCTTAGTCAGGAGGGGGTCAACCCTATTTTCCAGCAACCTACATACACAGATTCTGCAATATAAGAGGGTCGACCCTCCCCATACTGATGTCAACCCTATTTTCCAGCGACACCCCCAGAAACTTCACCAACAGGTAAGGGTCGACCCTTAGGAAGGCTGGTGTTGACCCCAAGGCAAAATTTCTAAGTCTCCAAGGAACGTTTTCAAAAGAACAAACGCAAACAAACAAACCCAACAAGTTTAAATCGGATCATACTCCTCCGAAACCAACATTCAACAACTCCAAAGACTCCTAAAAAAGAAAATAAGGGAATTAAATACACTCTCCAATGGATTAAAGGATGCGGGTGTTACAGTGTGGAGGGAGGTGACCGCACCCCAAAAATTTAGAAAATATCATATATTATGTTAGAAAATTTAAAATAATAAGCATTTACACCTCAAAATATATGTGAGATCTACCTTTTATGAGATATGTGTATCTCATTTTTTGTTTTGTTTAGTCAAGCCTTCACGCCATGCTATGTGGCAGCTTTATCTAGCCTAAAATAAAAAATTGTAATTCAAACGTGTGATCAAGGTTTGATCCCAAGACTTTGAGTTTCATTAAGAACAATTTTACCACTTAGGCAACATACATATTATGATATTAACTTCTTTATTATTTATTTTTATTCTTATTTATCTGAATTACACAAGCATTGCGTGTGTCACTTGCTAATCATTATTTACATGATTTATCATTTCTAATAAACAAATCTGTACATACATATATATATATATATATATATTTATTTATTTATTTATTTTGAACATTTGGATATAAATTTAGAAAGACTGAGGGAAATAAAAAAAAATTTTAATTTATATTTTATTGACATTGCTCTTACATTTTTTTTTCAAAAAATCTTTACTTAAATTTATAATCCGTACATAAAATAAAATTTTGGCTCATCAATATGAGAAACATGTCTCATCAATCATCACTGACGTTGAATTCCAATATACAAGCCTATTAAGCAAGATGCCAAAATGAATCTTTGCAGGTTTCTTTTCCAAGGTTGGAGACATTAATTCTCAATAATTGTGTAAACTCAAGAGAGATACATCCTTGGAATGTTCAGGCTGGCAAAATAAGTTTAAAATTCTTGGACGTAGCGAATCTGAACAAATTAATTGTGAGAAATTGTAGTGAGGTGGCAGAGGTTTTTCAACTTGAGGGGCTAAATGTTGGAGAAGGACAACATGTTAGGCCATTAATTGAAGTAAGAATGATGGAATTGGATGCATTACCTAAGTTGACATGTTTGTGGAACAAGGATCCCCATGGAATTCTAGGCCTTCAAATCCTACAATACCTAACAATTAAGAAATGTTCCCTCTTGAGAAATCTATTCACATGTTCCACAGCCATGGCTCTTCAACAACTTAAAGTACTTTATTTGGAGTCTTGTCCAGTGATGGAAGAAGTTATTGCAGCAACAGAGGATGGGCTCAAGGAAGTGATTGATGATGTGATTGGATTCCCAAAGTTGGAGTGGCTAATACTAAAAGATCTACCAAACCTCAATAGTTTTTGTAATGCGAAATATAATTTTAATTTGCCATCATTACACAGAGTTGTTTTGGAGAGGTGTCCGAATATGCACAACTTTACTTTTGGACAAGTACGCATGTCACAGATATTTGTAAGTACACATGGCTATGATGGCCTTCAAATAGAAGATCTCAATAAGTATTTAAAGGAACGACTTCTTTTGAAAGGAGAGGTAGACTTTCTTTTTCAACTTGATCTACGGTTAATTATTTTTGTCAGTTGATGAAATCTTTTATCTTTGAATATTTACAAGAGACTACTCAACTGGAGTGCTTCATATGTATTTTTTGTTTATATGAATTTTACTTTCTTTTCTTTTAGGAATGCGCAACCGTGGATAAAAATGATCACTACGGTGACGAAGGACAGTTCTCCAACCTTGAACGGCTATCGGAGTAAAGTAAGTTGATCATCCTTTATTATTAATATATATGCATAAATTTCATAATATTTATAGGAAATTTTATAATAAACACGTTAAACGTCCAGTTATGATTTATCAGCTGAATATAATAAGTTGATCCTCCTTTATTAAAATAAAAAATAAAAAAAGGGCAAATTATGATGGTGGTCCCTATATTTTACTTCTTGTGTCATTTTGGTCTCTACACTTTCAATTAACTCAATTTTAATTCCTAATTTTAAATTTTATTTTAATTTGTCCAATTAATAATATTGTTTGTTTTTTTAAGGAAAATTATCACTAAATTGATTGAGGTTAACTAACTCAGTTGAATAAGTTTATAATTTTACCCTTAAAAATATGGCACGTGACACGTACATTCTTATTTTTTACAAAAAAAAATGCTAAGAGCTGTAATCAATTGGATTAAATTGAAACAAAATCATAAATTCAGGGTGAAAATCAAGCTAATTGAAAGTACAAAGACTAAAATGACACAAGGGGTAAAGTATAGGGACTACTGTCGTAATTTGTCCAATATATATATATAGAGAGAGAGTAATGCTACCATATACAAGTTATGTCATTTGTGAGTTTGATTATCACAAATGACATAACTCAATAGTATAAGAATCGTAACAAATAATAATAATAATAATAATAATAATAAGAGTTATAACTAAACATCACATGAGGTACAACCAAACAACTCTTGAATCATAACAAAAATAATTTCATTGGACACAACATTAGCCACCACACCTACCAAGCAAGATGCATTCGGATCGATGGTGACATCTCCGGTCATCAAACCCACATCTGAAAATTCTTCTTTAAACTCCCTATATTTCTGATTGCTGAGTGCTTTGATTGGTGACGTGTATATCACCCGTTGCTTGTTCCGCAATGACATAGCAATGGCATAAAGTGCAACAACAGTTTTCCCTGCTGATGTATGAGCTGATACCTATCATTATATTGAAAGTTAATTCTTTTAAAATTAACATGTTATGTGTCTCTTTTACTTCTATTCTTAAAGCATTCTAATAATCAACTTTACCATAACAGATTCACCACTATCAAGGCAATTGATTGCTTCGGACTGAAAAGGGTCGAGTTTGAAAGGGAATTCCTTTGCTGGTTTTGAATCTTCTTGAGCCAATGAGAGATTTGAACAAGGAACATAACCCTCAGGATATGACACATCGTGTACACATGCTACAGATTCATCTGTGATGATTAAATCATTCTCCCTCTGCTGTTTCGATGGAGGGCCAGATTCCTCAGATGGGCCTTCTAGTGATTTTCTCTTCATTAATCCCATGAATGCTTCAAAAAGCATAAAAACAAATAATTATATAAACAAATATTTGACAAATAGCAAAATCAAACCAAAACAAACTAAGCCTTATGTTCAATCATTATGTCACGAGCTGCTCAGTTAAAATATTCAAATCAAACCAAACTAAACCTTTGTGTCCCAATCAAGTAAAGTCGGCGCCATAAATATTTTTTTCGCCGTTCTGCTCTGTCAAGTGCTATATACCAATGAAATTAAATAAATTCATATAGTTTTCATTTTGTTTTCTTTTTTCTACTACCGCACCCATGTAAGTTTAGGGCTTCCCCTCCCTCTAACTATATGCTCAGTTAAATACATATATAGTCACATTTGTACGACCACAAATCTTACTTCGGGTACGTAAGAAAAACTTAGCTAAGCTAAAGCGCACAGTTGAATTAGGTATTATTAGGCAAACAAAAACTCCAATTTCTTATCTTTACCCACATTTTCTAGTCAACCAAACAGACAATTAACAGGAGAAGATTTAAAAAAATAAAAATTAAACGGGTTCGAAGGCTCTAAACCAAACTTAGGTGGTAATACTGGCAGGTCTGATGATGGGAAAATTTCTCTAGGGTTTTCCTGAGCTCCTAATGTGTGTCCTTGTGCAAGTGAGTGCCCGTGACGTTCTAGTCCTCTCCCTTCATAAAAAAAAACTCCTGACAATAAATCTGAACATATAGTAAAAAATAATAGATACCTCACAACAAAATTCAAAATCCAAACATAATGTTAAGATTTGAGTCCTTTTACTAAAAATTTTTTGAAAAGGAAAACTAATCAAAAGGTACTTGTACATATTAATTCAATAAGAGAAATTATTTGAATTTTTATTTTATTCTTCACAAATCGCTTCTCAAATGCAAAATCTAAAAGTCCATATTAAAATTAAAAAATTTTGAATTCTGTTTTCTTAAATGATTAAATTCAAAATGCTTTTTGTAATTATAAAATCTCCATACATCTTCCAATAATTTTTTTGTATATTTTGTTTTACTTTGACTCCATCAATATTTGGGTGTGCAGTTATATATGATCGAGTTCAAGTTGCTGAGATTGGAGTATGCTGGATTACCCTCCTACAGTCAATAGCAAACTTATTGTTTCTTCCAATAAGTTAAAAAGAAAAAATAAAAATAAAAATAAATTACAAAACTATTCAGCTACTTATAGTTGTATAAGAAATGATATGTGTGTGTGTGTGTGTGTGTGTGTGTGAGTGAGTGAATATGTGCGGTAGTAATGTCATACTACTCTATCTTGGTTCTTGGACTTGCTGATGAGATAGAATTTGTATGATTTTGGAGGCTAGGTGTGCTAATTATGTGGGATATACACTTGCAGGGTATTTTAGTTATTTATTTATTTTTGTTGGGATTTTATTATTATTTTTTTATCAGCAAAAAAACACGAGCTATTTTGTTGGGATTTCATAATCATAATTCTATTGAAAGAAACATGGATGAGCATGTTTTATAATTAGGCTAGGCAAACTAGCTACGCCAAGGAGAAATATCGTCAACCCATGTTAGCTGAGACTCAACATGGAGATTGGTAACAAATTTATCCCTAAAAAAAGATACTTGCATAAAAACAAATCTTAGAATGCGTTAGTAAATGTGATATATATATATATATATATATTCACTATATATGGCGAGTGCTGGGGGCTTATTGCGTATTTGGAACCGTGAAGTTTTCATGGTGTTAAGAGTATTGTTGTGGCAAGCATTTCATAGTGCTCTTAGGTATGACTTATGATCTTTTTGAGTGTGTGATTTCAAACATTTACGCACCCAATGATGTTGATAATAGAGGTAAGTTGTGGGATACACTTGTAAGGATTAAAAATGATTTTCAAAAACCTTGGTGTGTTGGAGGGGATTTTAATGAAATTAGGCATTTATCTGAGAGAAGAGAACTATATAAAAGAGATAAGGGGATGAGACAGTTTGATAACTTAATTGAAAAAAATGGAATTGGATGATTTACCAACGGTAGGGAGAAGCTTTACATGGTGCAATTCACTTGATGGGGTGAGATGGAGTAGGATTGATAGATTCTTAATTGATCCTAGGGGGCTGGAGAAGTTTAAGTTTCCATTGTGGGGTTTGCCTAGGGATGTGTCAGATCATTACCCTATATTACTTGGGGAGGATGATAGGAATTGGGGTCCTAGACCATTTAGATTCTTGAATGCTTGGACCTTACATCCTAATTTCCTTAAAACAGTACAAAAATCTTGGGCAAACTCAAAGATTGATGGCTAGGCTGCGTATAGATTTGTGAGGAAACTGAACTCTTTGAAGAGTGATCTAAAAAAATGAAAGGGTCACCAGCTTAAGATGGCAAAGGATGAATTACATGATTTTGATTTGAGGGCAATTGTGATGGAAACAAAGCACCTGGGCAAGATGGGTTTAATTTGTCATGCATTTAGAAGTGCTGGAAGTTCATGAAGGGTGAGGTGATTCAACTTGTGAAGGAATTTCATTATAATCGATGATTGTAGGAGGCTTGAATTGTTCATTCATAACTTTGATTCCTAAAAAGGATAGTCCCAATTGTTTGAGTTATTATATGCTGATTAATTTGGTTAGTTCTGCTTATAAAATATTGACTAAATTGCTCTCAAGAAGAATTAGAAAGGTATTACCAGATGTAATTAGTGAAGTACAATCAGCATTTCTAGGAGGTAGAAATATTTTTTATTGGATGATGATTGCAAATGAGGTGGTTAACTAATGGAAGAAGACAAAAAAGAAGGGAGTTGTTTTGAAAGTTGACTTTGAGAAGGCCTATAACTCTGTGAATTGGAACTATCTGTTTTCTATGATGTCCAACATTGGATTAGGTGATAAATGAAAGAAATGGATGGTTTCTAGTGTAACCAAAGCAAGAGTTTCAGTATTAGTGAATGGGACTCCAACAGATGAGTTTTCTCCTCAGAAATGGATTAGGTAAGGTGATCCCCTTTCACTTTTTCTTTTCAACATAGCACTTGAAGGGCTCAACATTCTATTAAAAAGGGCAAAGGAGATAGGATTGTTAAAGGGTGCTTCTATTGAGCCATCTAAGTTGAAGCTTTCTCGTCTTCAATTTGCAGACAATAATATAATCTTCTATGAAGATGTGAAGGAGGAAATTATAGTTATTAAAAGGATTCTTAAATGTTTTGAAGTGATATCAGGGCTTAAGATTAATTTTCACAAGAGTGTAGTATGTGGTGTAGAAGTGTCTGATGAGAAGGCCAAGGAGTTTGCCTCTATTCTGAATTGTTCAAGTCAAAAACTACCTCTGAAGTATTTAGGTTTTCCTCTTGGTGCTAGCCTGAGAAGCAGGAGGACTTGGAAACCAGTGGTTGATAAGATCAGGTTCACGTTGGCATCATGGAAGAGAAAACTTTTGTCTTTTGCTGGTAGCCTTACTTTGATAAGGTTGGTATTGTCAAATTGACCATGTTATTATTGGTCTTTATTTTTAATTCCAAAAGAAGTGGTCAAGGTGATTGATAGGTTGCAGGCTTCTTCTCTTTGGAGGGGGTTCGGATCTAAAGAGAAAGATGCATATGGTTAAATGGGGGGATATGCCAATATCAAAAGAGCAAGGAGGGTTGGGCATTAGGAGAATTAGGGAAGTGAATGAGGCTTTGTTATTGAAATGGTGATGGAGGTATGGGGTGGATGACAAAGCTTTGTGGAAACAAGTGTTAATTAGTAAGTATGGATCACATGGGGGAAGATGGTTACTTCATTGGAATTCTGAACAAGATAGGAAGGTATCCAGGATATGGAGTGACATATTGCAAGTAGTGAGGTCTAACTTTTCCCTTCATGATTTTTATGTACGTAATATAAAGATAAGGATTGGGGATGGTTGTAGAATTCTTTTATTGTCTGTCCGGTGGCATATGAACATTCAAATGAAGGAAGAATTTCCTAGGTTGTATAGCTTATCTATGGATAAGGAAGGAACCTTGAAGGATTTTTTCAAAGAAGACAGAGATCTAGGGGTTGGGTGTTTAATTTTAGGACTCTTCTAGCTTGCAAAGAGGAGGAGGTTGCTAGATTACAAGGCTGGCTGTCAAATGTACCAGATCTTAGTTTAAATAGCCCTGATAACTTGTCTTGGGAGGCTGCTTCTTTAGGTCTTTTTTCTGTTGCATCAGTCAGGAATTGGTGTGAAGCCAAATGTGGACCCAGGTTGAAAGTAGCTAAACAGATATGCCAAAATGCAGCTCCACCAAAAGCACAATTCTTTGGTTGGTTAGCTTGGAAAGGTAGGGTCAAAACAACAGGTTTGTTACACAACATTGGGGTCATTAGATGTCGTGAAGATACTATGTACCCTTTTTGCAAATCTGAGGTGGAAACAGGGTCACATGTGTTGATTCACTGCCAAAAAGTATGGAAGATGTGGTCAGCTCTGCTGGATTGGAGGGGAATTAGTTGGGTTACACCTGCAAATGTAGAGGGCCTATTGAATTGGTGGATGGGGATGAAGTTTAGAAAATTAGAATTGTAGAGATATTACCTTTTGCCATGTTGTGGTCAATTTGGAACGTAAGGAATGTATATGTATTTAATGACCACATACCAAACTTTGTTGAAGTTGAGAAGCTTGTGAAGGTAAATGAGGCAATGTGGGCAAAATCAAGTTTGAAAGGTGTCCATTTTTCTGTTCATGACCTTGTCTCAAACATTAGGGAGGTCAGGTTTTGCTTGTAATGGTTGGTGTTAATTTTGTCTGATTGAGGATAGGTTGGTAAGCTTTGTTTTGTAGTTGTTGTGGTTGTTGCCCTGTTAGTATCTCACTAGCAGTGGGCAGCTACAGTGCATATGAGTTGGTGTGCCTTGCAGTGACAACATTGTTGTGATCTGTAGTGGCTTGATGTGATGCTTGTGCAACTGTTTTTGTTTTTTCCTTTATTAGTGTACTAGCCTATCACTCGTGCTATGCATAGGATAATTATAGATATTTATATTTGTTTTAGATTTTTTTAATATATAAATTATATTTTTTAAGATTTTTTATAAAAATAATTTAATAATCTTATCACTAACCATAGTGTATGAGAAAAGTAAAAAAAGGTACTGCAGTAACTATACACAACTTGTATCTATAATTATTTGTATGAGGGGATTTTAAATGCTAACCAAGGGATTTTGACCAAATCAATAAATGCAGGTATGTGGAAAGACATGTGGATTGAAAGAAGTTAATAAATGCTGATGAGGGGATTTTGACAAAATCAATAAATGTTGAGTTTTTTTTTTTAATAAAAAATTTAGAAAATTCAGATTGGGATATTGAAACTCCCACAGGCCTTGGGGTTAAAAACCCCCTTTTGCTTAATATATAGTATGGATTCTATACTCTTGTATAGTTTTCATCATTGATGAAGTTTCTTTAGTTGATCAAAATATATATATATTCAGTATATATATTAGATGTTGTAATTAGGTTTTACCATATCAAGATATTTTCATAACTTTCTTGTTGCCCACTCTTACCTTACCTATATATAGACATCTTTATTGTATTGTACGATACATAATATTGAATATACACATAATATATATAATATTCTCTTTGTCTTTCTCTTAGATATTGTAACATGGTATCAGAGCTATAGGTTATGCTCTTCGTGTTCTTCGCTTTACCAGCTAGTGGCAACCTTGCCTTGGTCACCTGTCGGACCTCAACCCATTCCGCTGCCATATTTTCCTTCCAATATCACTTAATGGTGATTTCCTTCTCTGTTCACTGGTTTCTCAATGTTCCTTCATCATCGGCCAAAGTTCCTCTATAGCACTCCACTTTGTCTTTCCCTTTACTTTAACCTCAAATAGGTTTTTAATCTTCAAACCTATTTGAGTTTGAGGGAGGATATTATACCTATATCATGGTAAGTATGGTTATACCATGCGAACCACCTAAGCCACCCCCTTGATGCACTTCTTAAGTCGCCCCCTTGGTGCACTCCCTAAGTGGCCCCCTAGGCGCATCATCCAAGCTGCCTTTTGGTGCACATGGTTCCTTTTTGGTTCAGACTTCTGCTCCTAGCTTCTTCTTTGACGGTTTGGCACAACCTCACCAAAAATTGTCTCCCAATATTAGCTCCGGCTAGTTTCTTCATTAGGCTGGTCTGACCTCACCAAAAACTATCTTCCAACGTTTGCTCTAGCCAATTTCTACAACGGTCCGACACGACCATAACTATCTCCTCTCATTAGCTCCAGCCTTGCTACTACAATGGTCTAACATGACCATAAACTGTCTTCTAGCATTAGCCTCGGCTGCTCCTACAACGGTTTGGCATGACCATAAATTGTTTTCCAGCATTATTATTTTCATTTTATTTTATTTTCTCTAGTTTCTCTTTCCAAACTCTAGTTGGTCTCTGTAATGCCTCAAAAATTGGCAAGGTATATCTATTTATGCTACAAAACCTACCTGATAGACAAACACATATATATAGCTAACTATTCCATACATCCATTTCCATTAAATCCCAAATGCCAAATACATGTTATTCACATCTCAATGCCCCAGTTCCAATCCCAAGCATACATTTTACAAGTATGAAATAGAAGCCAAACAGGTAATAAGTGCCCTATAGGCTTACAAATTTATCTAAGAATTCTTGGTTACACAAAATAGAGTTTCAACTTAACGCAAATATAGCCTTGGGCTTACATTAAACAAATAACAATAAAACAAAAATGAAGCCTCAGCTCTGAGTCCTCCCAAGTCAATGCCTTGGCGGAGGCATAGCACCTGTACCTGAAATGGTTTCCCTTACAAGGTGAGCCACAGCCCAGTAGAGATATACTACACAACATATGAACCATGACAAGACTAAAGAGGAGTATGTTCATGCCATGCTCATGATAAAACAATTTATCTCTCTTTTTTATAAAGCATGCAATGTTGAGATGCAACAACAGATATAAAACCATTTCCATTTTAAACCATATATGTTACAAGAATATAGGCTCTGTGAATCTTTAGGTGAGTGTCTGCAAGTAGGCCCTAATGCACTACCACTATCATTTTTACCAGTAAACTGGAAGGCTTGACACCTAACCACGCAGTTCTACACCCTCTACCCAAATTCACCAAGTATTCATCTTTTCGCAAACAAATACATTTCCAAACATTTCTCAAAAACCGATACATTTCCAATGAAATGAATTTAATGCAATGTCCAATGAAACAAATGAAGAATGTGGTTCAATTTACCTAAGTCTCATACATTTCTACAACAATCATGGCTATCCTCCATCGATAGCCCAAAACAGATATTTCTAAACGGATATTTAAACAATTAAATTCCAAAAAAAATTCCGATAAATGCAATCTATTCCACATCTCATCAAATATGAACAACTACACTAGTTTTCATATCACAATTACGTCCGGTAACCTCTCAAGGTCTATTTCTAACCGTGTCGGTTTTATTCCAATAGATACATTAAACAAAATAATACCGTTAATGCCCAAGAAAACATCATTTTCTTTCCAAACTCATTCTCCAAGCATTATTCAACTATGACATCCTATTTTGATCAAAAGCCCCAAAAGTTAAACGTAATTCCTTTGTTTTCTTTAAAAATGCTCTTTTGGTTGCAAACCAGTAAAAATTTCAAAACTGATCGAGTTGAAGTCCGTTTTTGTTCAAATTTAAAACATAGCTCTTTCATAACCTTACAAATATATTCCGAGCTTACACTTTCGCAATTTGGGCATCAACTCTTTATTTTTCTCAAAATTCCCCTTTTAAGCAAATAAATCAAAAATTTTTAAAAAATTTTAATTAAATTATATACAACTCTAAGCTCCATATAATCAAGTAAAAGTGCATAAAGAAGTGTAGGAAAAATCCCTACCTCAAGTTAGAAGAGGAAACAAGCAAAAACTCCAATTTTTGGTTGTGTTGGATTTCGATCTCCACCGGTCAAAACATTGCTCTCGCCAAGCTCTTCACTTTGATCTTAAGAACTATGGTCTAAAACCTAATAGATTTTGGTAAATCAAAGACTTTATATGATAGAAGTAACACAAAAAAAAATTTCAAAGAGGGAGAGAGCTGAGAGCCAAGAGAGAGAGAGAGAGAGAGAGAGAGAGAGAGAGAGAGAGAGAGAGAGATATTTCTCTCTCTTCCTTTGAAAATTGCGTCTGACACGCTGCCTTGCTTTTGCGTCAGCTGGCCGACAAAAGCAGACCTCCTCGATTTTTAAACTCGCCTCGACTCTTTCTCCCTCTTTGTCTTCTTCTCTTTTGTCTTCTTTTTCGTCAGCTAGCCGACAAAAGCTACCCTCCTCGATTCTCTTCCATCTCCTTTTTTTTTCTTTTTTTACCTCGACTTTCTCTCCCTCTTTGTCTTCTTCTGTTCCGTCTTCTTCTTCTTCATCACTCTCTTTCGTCTACTTAATCACTCTTTTTTCCTTCTT